ATTTCCCTCACTTTGAAATTAAACTTCTGTTTAATTCCTGACTCTCTTGTCTCTAGCCTGTTCTGTCTGGCTGTAATCCATACGTTACAGGCCAGTTCAGCCTAGCTGATAACCTTGTTAGAGGTCTGTATGTGAGGTTGGAGCTGATGGTTAAGGGGAATGGGGAAGATACAAAATTTAAGTAATGCATTATCTACACTATTGCAGATAGCGTTGAGGTTTAGAGGTTTAGGGGCGCTGTCCTCCCTGTCTTTTTGTGACACTACTTCTTACTTTGACTACTTTCTCAGTCTTAGTGGGATCATCATCCAGGTCTCACTCCCTCTGTGTGGAAGTACCCCTGGGACTCTGTCCTAGGTCCTTTTCTTTCCTCTTCCTTCTCTATGCTGTATTGATGACCTCATCTGCATCCATGGATTCAACATCTCTATTTGTTCTTTGTCCTTCATTCTTTTTTTAAAGACTTTATTAGTTTATTTTGATTTGTCAACAATCGCTTCCAATAAGCTTTTGAGTTTTAAATTTTCTCTCCCTCCCTCCCTCCCTTTCCAAGATGGCATGCAATCTGATACAGGCTCTACATATACATTCGTTTCACATTAGTGATGTTATAAGTAAGAATTAGAACCAATAGGGGGAACCATCAGAAAGAGGAAACAATACACAACAGAAGAAAAAAATAGCAACTAGTATGCTTCGATCTGCATTCAAACTCCATAGGTCTTTCTTTGGATGTGGATAGCATTTTCCATCATGAGGTCTTTGGAGATGTCTTAGATCCTTGCATTGCTGAGAAGGGTTAAGTCTATCAATATTAGTCAACATGGCTGATACTGTGTACAACATTCTCCTGGTTCTGCTCACTTTGCTCAGCATCAGACCATACAAGTCTTTCTAGGTTTTTCTGAAGTCTGCCTGCTCATCATTTCTTATAGCACATTTATATGCCATTACATTCATATACCGCAACTTGTTCAGCCATTCCCCAATTGATGGACACCCTCTCAATTTCCAATTCTTTGTACCACAAAAAGAGCTGCTACAAATATTTTTATACATGTGGGTCCTTTTCCCATTTTTAGGGATCTCTTTGGGATACAGACCTAGAAGTGGTATGCACATTTTTATAGCCCTTTGGGCATAGTTCCAAGTTGCTCTCCAAAATGGTTGGGTCATTTCACAACCCCATTAACAATGCATTAATGTTCCAATTTTCCCACATCTTCTCTAGCATTTATCATTTTCCTCTTTTGTCATGTTGGCCAATCTGATAGGTGTGATGTGGTACCCCAGAGTTGTTTAGATGTGAGTTTCTCTAATCAATAGTGATCTAGACCATTTTTAAAATGTAACTATAGATAGCTTTAATTTCTTCATCTGAGAACTGCTGTTCATATCTTTTGACCATTTATCAATTGGGGAATGTTTGTCCTTCATTCTTGAAGAGGACTAATGATATCACAAGGGTGATGCCTTGACTTGCAAGTGGATTAGATATAAGTGAGGCAGAGCTGCACAAGGTCATCAGCCTCACTCTCTCTCCTCCAGAGTCATCTGAGCCTAGTGACAAATCACAAGTCAAGATGACTGGCAATGGTCCAAGATACAGTGGAAAACCTTGGTGTCTTGGATGTCTGGCCAAGCTCTAAGCACTCCACAGTGCCTGTTTCAGCCACCTTCATGGCTGTTGGAACAAATTGTTCTCATCTGCCCATTCTACCAAGAGAAGTCTTCCCAACCTTGGGATAGACATCCCCCTGACTCACCAACAGGGGTAAGGCTCATTGGTTACCTTTAATCTGTCTTGAGTTTTCCTGGGGTGTGGTTGAATCTTACAGCTTCTTGGAGCCACTGGTGAGAGTTGGGTGAATCAGGTGGATACCAAAGGGGGATAAGCAGCCCTCACACCAGAGGTACTGCTCCTCCCTGAACACCTCACACACCCCAGTGATCTATCTCAGTGGTGATTGCTAATTTCTCCTTCCACTAGTTCAGTTCTTAACCAACTGATAACTTTCCATTTCATCTGATTCTTGTTTTTGTTCTCTTATATGCTCCAGAGAGGGTATACTCAATGTATGAGAGGTTTTCCTCCGAGTCTATTAATAGAATCAGGTTAAAAAAAACCCAAATCAATCATCAATACTTCTCTTTTCCCAGAATTCTGTCTTTTGACATAAAGGCTTATACAGCCCTAGTTCTCCTAAAAGAACAGTATTTTTTTTTTGGCTGGGTAATGGGGTTAAGTGAGTTGCCCAGCGTCACACAGCTAGTGAGTTTTATGTGTCTGAGGCCGGATTTAAACTCAGGTCTTCCTGACTCCAGGGTTGGTGCTGTATCCACTGCTCCACCTAGCTGTTCCCCCCCTTTTTTTTTCCACAAAAACTTAAATTATAGTAAGATCATTTACAATGATTATTACGTGTGTTCCTCATGCCAGTGTCATTAACAAAATTGCCTTACTGCCAGGTAAACACTTCAGCACAGCACCAACTGAGTGACTATATTCTTGCTTGTTTCCCATGAAAGAAGATAAAAATCATTCCAATGTACTCTCCAATTTCCCAGAAAATACATTAACTAAGATTCAGTAATCTTTGCAAAGTTGTAGCTATGTATTTAGAATTCCCAGGTCTTGAGGTAGAAGTATTGTTATTGATATTTTGAAGTTGACAGAAGGTAGGGATACTAAGAAGAGGAGTTGAGGAGGGAGTGCATTATAGGCATGCCAAATAACCTGGAAAAAGACATGGAGACAACAGATGAAATGTAATAGATGAGCATCCACAAGTAGGATGGTTAGGTTGGAATATAGAAGGTGTGAAAGGGAGTAATCTATATTATCTATCTCATCCCCTAAAGTTCCATTATTGTATCTTCAAATGCTCATTGTAACTTTCGGCCTGCATGTCTATTGAGCATTTCAAATATAACACATCCACAACTGAACTCAAAATGTTTCCCTCTGAACTCCTAATTCCACCTAGCTTCCTGATTTCTGTCAAGGACACCACCATCTTTCCAGTCAGCCAGGCACCTAACCTCAGGGTCATCCTTGACTTCACTTTCACTTATTCTCCCAGAGCCAATCAGTTGCCAAGACTTGTAGATTCTACCTCTAAATCATCTGTGGACTCTGTCCATAGTTCTGATCCCCATCACCTTTTACCTGGACTATTGCACTAGCTTCCCATTAGTTCTCCTTGCCTTGGGTCTTTTCACCCTCCATGCTGCTTCCAAAGTGATATTCCTAAAGCACAGGTCTGATCATGTCATCATCTTCTTTCCTCCCACCTCAATAAGCCTCCATGGCTCCTTTTTGCCTGTAGGATAAAATGCAAATTCCTCTGGCATTTAAAAGCCTTAAGCTAACTTTCTAAACTAATTTTTATGGTTATTCCTCCTCCCCTCCCCTAAACACTCTACAATCCAGTCAAACTGGCCTACTTGCTTTTCCTCATTCATATCATTCCATTTATATCTCCATGTGTTTCCGTAGCCTGGAATGCTCTTGCCTCTTAGAACCCTTCCTTCCCTTCAAGGCTCCAATCCACTGCCACCTCCTACAAAGGCCTTTCCTTATTCTCCTCATCCTTACCACCTTACCCTCCCTCTCCCCCAAGACTTTATTTTGTATTTATTTTCTATATATTTTAGGCTTACTTATCTGTGTACATATTGCCAATTCCCCCTTTCCCCAGTAGAATTTAAACTCTTTGACAGTAATAATAATAGCTAGCATTTATTTAGAACTTTAAGATTTGCAAAGCATTTCACAAATATTACCTCATTTGATCCTCACAACAATGCTGGGAAGTAGATGCTGTTATTATCCTCATTTTGTAGCTGAGGAAACTAAGGCAAAGAGACTTCAGTGACTTGCTCAAGGTTACATAGTTAGGAAATGTCTGAGACTGGATTTGAATCCCCGTCTTTCTGACTCCAGGCCCAGAGCTCTATCCACTGTGCCATCTAACTGCCTAGCTGAATATTACCTTGGCAACTATGTGCAGGATGGGAAAAGGGAAGGGGAAGGGAATAAGCATTTATATAGTGCCAGCTGTTGTGCTAAGTACTTTTTACAAATACTGTCTCGCTTGAGATTATATTATCACATTTGGAATGGAGATGTGAGACAGTAGAGGTAGGAGGAAAATGAGGAAGCTATTGAGATATACAGGTGAGGGATAATGAAAGCCTGAACTTGGGTAGTGGTGATGTGAGTGGAGAAGAGGGCTTGGATTTGGGACACATAGTATTGATTGATTATGTAGGGTGAAGGAGAGGAAGGAGTCATATTTATTCTCTAGTTCTCAGTAGAATCAATCAGTATATCAGTGAGCATTTATTAAGTGCCTACTATGTGCTACTGTGCTAAGTGCTGGGGATATAAAGGATAAAATAATCCCTACTTTCTAGGAAATATTGTCAGCAGAGACAACATGAGCATACATAAGCATAATAGAGGGACTGGACCAATGAAGGCCCAGTCATGTCTTTGTACTTGCCTTTTATTTTTGGTTATATAGATCATGTGTCATATTTTCCTTGTTTGTTTCCAATCCAGCATGTGGAACTTTGAGTATCCACTTTCCAGACATGAATGACTAAGGACTGGTACCCTGTAGTAATGAAAAACCTTTAATTGGCTTTGGAGCCAGACATGCTGATGGCTCAGGAGAGTCTGGGCTAGAACCCAGCTGATCTTTCACTCTCTTCTTTGGAAGTTCTTTTTTTTGGGGGGGTGGGGTTTAGGCAATGGGGTTAAGTGACTTGCCCAGGGTCACACAGCTAGTAAGTGTTATGTGTCTGAGGCCAGATTTGAACTCAGGTCCTCCTGAATCCAGGGCTGGTGCTCTATCCACTGCGCCACCTAGCTGCCCCTTCTTTGGAAGTTCTTGAGGGAGAAAAATGGCTTTGGGTCACAGGATGGGGGAGCCGGCTATTTTTCCCTACCCAGCTGATCACACATTTTTTTCACTTGCTTTTATTCTTTCCAGATCTTAGGTGAACTGAGTATACTGAAATGGGAGTGCCCAAGTAACTGGTGAGTTTGAAAGGTCCATCAGAGCCATCAGAGAAGTTTCCTAAAGTGGAAATGACTGACAATAGAGGAAGTACATACAGGTGGAGGGGGAAAGACTGTTCCATGAAGATAGCATTAGTTTCATAGCCTGTGACCCTTTGTGACAGAGAGAAATGCTGGCTATGGAATCTAGAAAGGCACCAATTCACTGAGGCCAATGGAGATTTACATCTAAAGAGAACCTCATAAGGATTCCACAAAAGGAGAAAAGGACTTCTAGGGTCAGGAGGCAGTGGGGTACCCCTTTGGCTGCATAGGTTCTCTATAAACTGGCTTTACTCCCATTTTGTTTTAAGTTTGAGCCCACCTTCCCAGGGACCTTATGTGTGTATATATATAAAGGGAGAATGTGCCCCTAGGTCAGGGGAATGTTTTGTTCTTGTAACATTTCCTTTTTTTTCCCTAAGTGTTATAAAAATTTGTTATTATTATTATTATTATTATTATTGTTTTACTCCTAATGAGTAAAATAAAAATCATTTATGAGACATTTTGGTGTCTCCTCGGGTAGTGTTGAAAGGGAGAATAAACAGACAACCATGAAAATAATTGAAGTTTATATACCAGGATTCATTGTAGTGGATAGATTCATTGCTGTACCTGGTATCAGGAAGGCCAGAATTCAAATCTAGCCTCAAATACGTATTAGCTGTGTGACCCTGGGCAAATCACCCAACCCTGTTTACCTCGTTTCCTCATCTGTACAATGATCTGGAGAAGGAAATGGCAAACCACTTCCGTGCCTTTGCCAAGAAAACCCAAAATACGTCACAGAGTTGGATACAAGTGAAAATAACTAAACAAAAACAGTAAGCTCTTTGATCTAAGTCCTCTGATCTTTCCATTATAACAGGATTCATTTCATCTATGGAAAAATATGAAATTATTTATGATCATGATATATGTATACATTGAGTATATCATTAAAGAAAATATGAAAAGAAAAGAAGCAGGCTTTCACAGACCGTTTGCTATAAAAGACTACATCGTTATTCACTTCCTCCTGAAAGATTATAAGAATCTGTTGTGCTTTTACTGAATAGTCTATTTAAAATCTATGACCTGAGAAAACCAAAAGGAACCTTGAAAGCTCATATTCTTTCAACATTTTCTCAATAAATACCCTTTTCTAGAATCTAATAGAATTCTACAGGTTGATTGATCCTGGGAGGCACACTGGATGGGGGCTTGTGAGTGACATGGTGATGTTATTTTGGTCCTCTTCAAGAACGAAGGACAACAAGCATTAGAAACAAAAACACTTGGGTTATCCCTAGAATCCGAGGACTAAATTGATATTCTGCCCTCTGGGAACTTAATATGCTACAGCAGAGTAAGTAGTTGGGTGAATAACCCATCGGGGATAGAATAAATACAAAAATACATATAATGTAGTTAAATATAGATAGGAAGGGGAACACTAGCACTTAGAGGCATAAAGAAAGACTTGGAGTATAAGGTACAGATTGAGTTACATCTGGAGGGTGTGTCACAGAGAAATTATATGAAGTAAAGGTAAGGCGAGTGCACATTCCAGGCATGGAGGATGGATCCACAGCGCACAGGCATAGAAACAGAAAAAGGAGTGTCATGTCTTAGAGACAGAGAGAAGACAAATTTGATTGGGTTGTAGGAAGGGGCATAATTTATAATGAAGTTAGAAAGATAGGTTGGAGGCAGGTTGTAAAGAGTTTTAAAAGCCAAGCAACGGAGTTTACATTTTATCCTAGAGGCAACAAGCAACCCATGGGGTTTATTGAGTAAAGGCGAGTCATGGGTCAAATCTGCACTTAAAAAAATTAAGTGGAGGGTGGATTGGAGTGGGAGAGACTGCAGGAAGGGAAATCAATTTGGAAGCCACTGAAATAGTCTAAGGGAAAGGTGATGAGGCCCTGAGCCACAGAAATAGCTGTATGAGTAGGGAGAAGGGATTGGATGGGAATGATGCTGTGTAATAGACAGAAATGACAAAATGTAGAAATTGATTGGATATCAACCAGCGTGAGATAGGGTGAGGAGTCACATATAATGCTATTTATAAGCCTGAGACACTGGAAGAATGGTAGTGTCTCCAATGGAAATAGGGAAGTTTAGAAGAAAGGTAGATCTTTTGGGAAACTTAATGAGTTCAAAGTTGGACGTCTTGAGTTTGAGATGCCTTTTTTGTATCATGGGCCTCTGAAAACTGGGTAAGATCCCTTCTCAGAATGACATTTTTCAATGCATAAAATATAGTAGATAAGATTTCAAAGGAAACCAATTATATTGAAATTCAGTTATCAAAATATTTTTTTAAAACCAAGTTTATGTGCCCCAGGTTAAGAATCCTTTTCTAGTTTAACTTTCCCCCTCTGGCTTCACTTACCTAGCCTTGACCTCTTGGTCTGTCACTTTAAGGATATGCTAATTACCACCCACGATTTCCTCTCCACCCTGACTTTACCAGACTTTCATGCTAATCTCCAGTTTACCCCACCCTGAATTCTCCATTCCTGACAATAGGCTTGGAGAAAGGTCACAAAATTTTTAAGGTGATTTCACTGACTCCAAATTTATTGTGAGCCACTTCTGCCTGGCCTTCTCATGACGCTGGAGTTCTTTTGTTCTACTCTTGCTAACTCCTTTTCTCATTCCTCTGACAATTCCAGACATTTTCTTCTTTCCTTAAACACCCGCCCAGACTGGATTGACTAAGAAGATCAAGGTCCAGCCCCCTGACAAGAGATTCTGAAAAGCCTCTTCTGTACTCCTCAAAAAACTTGTCAGCATTGTCACCCACATTCTAATTCCTCTTCTATCCCAGAGAAATATTTATCTCTTTTCCTTGATAAATTTGGTCATTCAACTTATGACTTTTATCTCAGACACTTCTGTTTTTTACAGGACCTTGCTTTATCAGTTATCTTCTTTCTTTCATATACAGACAGTCTTGCTTTACATTAATTTGCATTACTCAAAAAGTAAAAAATTCTGAAAGCAATCTACATTCCAAAAAAACACCTACGTTAATTGTATTTTACAGTACTGTGCTCTCTCTCTCTCTCTCCACTCCAGCCCCTCTGCTGTATGCCCTGTGCCCTCCCTCTGCTTCACCAAAAATATAATAATAATAACAAAAAAACCCCCCTGAAAAACCCACACCCTGAAAAAAAAACCCTCCAAGTAAAAGCAGCAGAGTGGTCTTGCAGAAAGTCCACCTCCATGGGATTGGGGGCTTGGCTTGAGACATCCCCTCCCCTTGCTGAGAGAGAAGATACCTTTACCCTACTTTGCCCACCCACTGGGGTGTCCAACCCCCTTCCCTCTGTCCCCAGGCAGCCATGTATCTCCCATCCTCTCCTGTCCATATATGTGCAGAGGCCTGCAGAAAGATCCATTTATGCAAAGCAAGAACTGTCTGTATCTTTAATCTTTTCTCTACAGGCTCCTACTCATCTGCCTTAAAAATGCTTAGGTCTCTTCAATCCTATAAAAGTCTCCTTTTGACATATTCATTCAGGTACTGTCCCATTTCTTTCATCAAGCTCTTTAGACTCCTTGCCTCTCCTTTATCACTAATAACTTTATTCTCAATTCCTTGCTGTCTGACTTTTGTCCTCACTATGCTGCTTAAACTGTTCTTTCAAATTGTCACCAACGATCACATCCAAGGTCTTATTTACAGAGCTCATCCTTAACTTTTTGCATGTCTAACACACTTAGCCACTCTTTCCTTGATACTCTCTTTCCTTGATTCATAGAGGTTATATTTTCCTTGTTCTCCCCCCACTATTTCTCCTCTGTTTGACTTGCTTGTGTCTCATCTTACTGTCAAGATATTAAGGTAGATATCCTAGAAGACTTCTTAAGCTCTCATTCTATTTCTCTAGATTTTCTTGGCAATCTCATTCAATCCTATCATCTTACCTATTGCATCTATGAAGATGACTCCATAAATTTATTTCTCCTGACCCTCCTCTGGGCTTCAAGCCCACATTTTCACCTGCTTATGGGACATCTCTAGAGCGGCTAGGTGGCACAGGGGATAGAACACTGGGCCTGGAGTCAGGAAGACCTGAGTTTAAATCTGGCATAAGACACTTACTGGCTGTGTGACTCTGGTCAAGTCATTTAACCCTGTTTGCCTCAGTTTCCTCATCTGTAAAATGAGCTGGAGAAGGAAATGGCAAACCACTCCAACATCTTTGCCAAGAAAACCCCAAACGGGGTCACGAAGAGTTGGACACAACTGAACAATGAAACACTCTCTGCACTTTCCCACATACTTTTGATTATCCTGTTCTGTATGCTCAGTATGTTTTCTTCTTTTTTACTCACTCTTTAAAATTCAACTGGAATATCACCTCCTCCATGAAGTCCTTGCTAATCTTGTTATTGTTCATTCAGTTGTGTCCATCTCTTCATGACCACATGGACCACAGCATGCCAATACTGTTCGTGGGGTTTTCTTGGCAAAGATACTGGAGTGAAGTGGTTTGCCATTTCCTTCTTCAGTGAATTAAGGGAAAAAGAGGTTAAGTGACCTGCCCAGGGTCACACAGCTGAGCCACCTGACTCCCTTGCTATCCTACTCAGAATCAGTAATGATTCTTCTCTCCTCAGACCTCTATAGAACTTAAAAACCAAAACAAAACTTCTGATAATATATAGTCTGTGTATTATCTTCTATTGTAGATATTTTTCTCTATGTCACATCTCCCAAATAGAGTATAACCTCCATGAGGGCAAAGATTAGAACTTATCTAAACTATATGTCTCCTAGTTATCTGATATCTTAGGATGTATCTCCATGCCTCCTATATTATTTCAACCTCTGGTGACAAAATTTTTGACAATATAATTTGTTACTGGAAGATTTTTTAGAATTATTATTCATAGATTTTCATTAAAGATTTCATTTTGCATTCTAGTGAAAAGAATATGTAACTGTTTATTTGGAATAATGTTCTAAATGGATCCTC